GTTAATGAGTTCAAGTGAGAGAATTATTTAGCTATCGGAACCTGAGTTCTAGTGATTTCTTGCTAAGGAAAGCAGAAGCGTCAAAAGGTGACACCCAAGATAGCAGCTGCAGGGCTACTGTTCAATGCGTTTTTAACTAAGACTTGCCTGTCTGACATAAAAATTCATCACATTGTCCCAGTAATTGCAGTATTAGAATAAAGACATCAGTTGTGGTTAATCATGTAATTATCCTTCATCAATTTATTGTTAAATATAATTATGTAACGTATGTACAAAGCCTTAATCGAGCAGTAGAATTTATTCACATGTACGTGGTAATGGTAGCAGACGTGACAATCAAATGGTTATAATGATGGGCTCAAAAGTCGTTTCCTAGACGAAACAGTAACCTATTGCCAGTCGAAGCAAATTAAGGGCAAAAGTTGAGAGCTTGTTTGACTCTCCTCAAATGGGTTTTCTACCCTTGGTAGGATGCTGCTGTACTGTTCCTTGTGATACGAAGGCTTTATCTCTTAGGGTGTCCTATACCTTTTCCAAAAAACCCACCAATTTTTTACTGCTCAGAGGCATGGTCATTAGTTTCTACATCTCACATCGTGTCCCTCGTAGTTCTTGCCTGTTTGCCCGCCTGTGTCTACCTGCCTTCTTCCTACCGTCTAACAGTTGACTGCCTACTTTAGCGCAGGCTGAGTGGTGAGCAGTGACGGCAAAGTGGCTTACTGAAAGTGCGATGGCCCATAACTAAGAGTTCTATGTACTAAAAGTACGCTCTGCTTATCTTTCCGTCACTTAGCGATCGTAACATATCTCACCCACTTTGCGACTGCATAGAAAGTAAAATTACCACACAAACCTCTGCACACACCCCTATGGAATCGGCAAAATGATTTAACAGTGTGGCGACACGCACCTCAAAGTACTTACCTCTGCCCGATCAGCCATCTAGCTAGCCGACTGGGCAGCTACGTTGGACAGCCATGTATACATGCAGGCTGACGGCTAATAGCGACAGTACGTGTGAAAAGTTAAGGACAGCTGCACGTCTAACAGCTAGAGCCATAACATACAAGTAAGAGCAGGAAATCCTAACCACTAGATCACCAAGGCAATGCCGTCTTGCCTCGCATATCCTTGCTTCATTCGCACCCCCCCTTCTTCCCTTCATGCTCTGACGTGTGGTGTTGTACTAAGTCAGGCCTTTGTCTACCTCCATCTACCGCTTTCCTATCCCACTCCAAAGCCTTTTCTCATTCCACCTAATTGCTTGTGTTCCATCATTTTGCATGTCTGCCTGTATCTGCCTATATCCATCTATCTGTCCGAGAGTGGGCACTCTCGTAAACATCCAAACAAACACACACTTTGAATTGGTCTAAAAGCAAGTCCCTCCCATGGCATATGTCATAATTTTTTGGCCGGATTAGCCGCTGGCACCACGTTTGGAAAAATGATGTCATAAAGCCTCTACCGATTTCTGCGTGTCCACTTGGTGATTTCATGCGTGTGCGGCATGCACGTATATCTATTCCGTACTATTGCGTGGACACGTGTGTTTACAAAATAAACTGCATCTGTTCTTGTTTACCTTTGATGCACATTTGTCCAGTCCTCAAAATTAGCAAAAAAATAATTTCACTCACGTACCATTCAAGATACTAGCTAAGTAGCGATCGTAACAGTGGTAGATAGATGCATTGTTTTTCGAGCCTCAACTTTTGACGTTTAAATGTTTTTAAGGTTCCCAGCGAGTTATTTCTCGTAAACTGCCAAAACCATGATAATTGTTAAAATTTTTTTTAAAACCGTTGCACATCACGCTTTCCCAAAACTGCGTGCTGACCATAAAAACGTTTTAATAAAGATAATTTCTAGAATAAAGTCCTAGGTATGGAACGTTCATCGCAAGTATACTCATTGATAATGAACCGTTCTTATATCATAGGAACGAGGTTGTCATTTTTGAAAACGAATAAAGCAACCAAATGCACAAAAATATTGCCCTCCTGATTATTCTTGCTAGTGGTTTATGAGGCCGTAGACCCAAATACAGTCATAGGTTCGATACAAATATTTTTGGGAAAAAAATTGTTTGGTTGTGACAACATCGCTTTCATTTTCGTTTCTTTTCAAACAATTTTTGCAAAACAGCTTTTGGTATTATATTCTTTCATAACTACCATTCACCAAGCCATTTTCACCAAAACAAATCAGCTTCCATATAAGTAGGATGGATAGATTAATAATATCCTTAACTGGTGCAAATCAATCATCACAGGATAGGACGAGTAACGGCCATCAACATGACTACATCAAGGCCTCATCAGACATCGGCTTTAGCCAGTGCATCGCGTGGTGCAACAGCCATCGAGAAGTTGTGACACACATTGATTCACCTCAAGATAGCCTTACTGCAGTGGATTAAGCCCGGTTTAATCACATCTGTATTAGGTGCATTTAGGGAAGAGGCATTTTATTGAATTGGACTGGATGAGAGCAGACAAATATTAGAATAGACATCCCGCAGTTCAAAGGAGGAATTACAAGAACAGTGAGTCGTGAATCGTGGTGTTGACTCTACTAGTAAGAACTAAAAGATTTCTGTAGTAGATATTAGGTGTTTAATTGCCACTTTAACATTACAGGACAAATGTTCGGTAGCTCAATAATCACCTTTATACATATAGATTTAGTAACTTGAATTTGCTTTGACTTTGAAAGTGCAGGGCCGATTCAGACAACTTCCACCGCTGCTCACCTTTAAATCATTCAAAAAGCCTTTTGCTATAAGGAATAAACAGGACTAGCCATGAAGTACGTCAAAGACAAGCATGAACGGGCGTAGTTTACTATGTAAATACACGCACCCACGCAGTAGTAAGGAAAGGACTGACGTACGTGCTGCACGTACACAGCTCATGAAGAGTACCAATGAAAAGG